AATATAATACTAAATAAACCCTCTAATAATATAATCCTGATTTTACAACAGGGCCAAATACATTCGAATCGGCATAACTGCTGTCTTCTGCACAGTTCGTAACTGGCACAGCAGTAGAAGCTGAGCCGGGTTATGTCTTGGTAAACTCTCAATCATACAGGTCCGTGGCTGTCACCCATGGTGAAGTGGCACTAGCTACTGGCATTCGAAAGTCATTGGGACGGAACCAGGTAGGGATCGGCTGGAAGGTGCAACCACTGACGGGACCAGGAAGGTCAAAACACAGGTGTCTGGTGCCTTTCCAGATACGCCAAATCCTGCTGGCTGACACGGGGCAGTGTTGAACTATCTCTAAACAATTAAATATTAAGTATTACATAGTGTCATGTTAGAATGAATGACCTAAGTTCAAAACGACAGTGCATTTTAGAACTTCACCGTTTAAACGATCAGTGGTGTATATTAAATCATATTTCTGTATCTCTATATATATATGAAAAGTACTCGTAGACTATAGCCTGTGTCCCGCTTGAATTTAGGTTGTATTGTAAACTGCGTTAAGCCAAACTTCATGTCTCCACTTACGTGATTCAAATCACTCATTAACACGTAACTTTCATTCCAGGTGATGGAGTTGGTAAGAGATAAAGTTAACACCGCAATGCTAACATTTTTAATCCTAAAATTATCTTTCTGATCATTTACTTTTCCCGATCCTCCTACCGTTTCTGCTATTACATTGATCAACCACTTTGATCGTAAAACTTTCTGCATCACAAATTGATTGTAACCTCATTATTCAATAAAGGTCTTGCACTGAAGATATGTTACACGTATTCGTTTAAATCAACTTTTGATGCACTAATCAACTGAGTTATTGCAAGCAGTCATTGGAGTGAGTAGACCTCGGTGCTCAGACTTTAACATGTAAGCTTCTTTGTAATGGTGCTTTTGGTTCAATACAACCGACAGAATTATATAATAGCAAGTTCTGAAAGAAACCCTGCATGTATGCTTGCTCACCATGCACTTTGCTCGTAACGGCTTGCTTTGACCACCTTAGGCTTTGATAGCCAGTGAATATTGACGTCGATTTGGACGCATGACCGTCGTTCAAAAGCAGACAGCTGTCATTCATAGGGCGTTGATTAGTTACGTAAAAATAGGTAACGTCGCAATTCACAGTGATGAAGTGTATGGGGTAGCGCACTTGGTTATAAACGGCTCCCGTGGATAAGAAATTACCGAACGAAACCAGACAGTAGTGAAAAAGAATTAATCAAAGTTAAGCAAAAACGTAAATAAAGCAGGTTACACTAATTCAAAAACGCATACATACATTTGTGAGGTATCTGATGACTATGTGAGATACGGGATTATGACAGTGAACTGCTACGGTGTAACTAACAGCTGAAAATGCGATTTCGCGTCGGCCTATATATAATTACATAGTGATGTAACGAGCTGGAGGCATTAGTTTAATTGGATCAATCAAAGTGATTGAGCTTGAAAGTTTATGTACAAATGATAAAGACACAAGCAGTTACATGTGCTGTTGGAATTCAGTTAAGAAATATATGCCGTGTTTGACTTAGGTGTACGAATATTACTGGAGTAGATAACATTTCGGCAGAAGAAATTTGAGGTAGCACTACACAGCTCGTACACAACTACTGCATTTAATTAAAATGTAAAAATATATTTGCCGTTTCCTCAGTCAAGTTGTCAGATAAAGATAAAACAATACTTCTACATAAGCCGTATACTGCAATGCACGTAATATAATGTTCAAATAGGCGGATCGGTGAATTAGTTCATCAGTTCCATGAAGCCCAGCTAATTGTCCCAATTGCTCGAGGTGGTCCTTAAACAATTTTTTACCTAAGCAATCGGCTTTTTCACGTACGCAGTAGCGTATCGATTCGTAAACGCAGGCCGTCACATGATTGGTTGGGAATGAACTTGCCTTAGTTTCCTGATTTCATTGATTTTCATTTCCGGCTTTCCTAGCCAACGTAAGGCAGGATGCTTTTAATAAAGCAGTTCCATACTACGCGTTCGCGTTCTGTTCCGTACATTGGCTAAGGAACACACTTAAGATTCTGTCGACGAGGATAAACTACTGCGAGATTGCACCTTCCTACACTAATTGGAATATGTCCTTCTGATAAACCAACCGACCATTTGGAACCGCTTCAAACGCACCTTTTTCAGATTATTTGAAGCTACTACCAGTCTTGCAACCAAACACATACTCTCAGGGAGCCACACATTTAAATTATTGAGAAAAGTTCTGCGGGATAATGGCCAACGACAATTTGACGACCTCCATGTCCGTGAGAATGAGGCAGCCAATGACGCGCCAGAAGTCCTCAGCGGGTTATGTGGTTTACGACTGAACACACACTGTGAGGTATTCTTTCTCGACTTTGCGTCAAAACCCTGAAGAAAGTGTCATTAATTTCATTGCGCGGATTCAGCAAGCCCTACCCGAGTGTCGGTATGGTGAAATCGCAGTTACGAAGTTCGAAGGGACGATGGCTTTGCAGTGCTTTATATTCGACATCCGTAACAAACAGGCTAGTGAAAGGTTGTTGTCAGGAGATGAGAGGACGAATAGCTGGGATAAGGCCAGCAATGTTTTTCGACAGCTGGAGAATATCCATAAAGAGTTAGCAGCTTTTTCGGTGCCAGCTAATACAGACACAATCCAAGCAGCCATCCGAAAATATGTTACGGAGAGACCGTCCGAATTGACTTTCACCTGTTACCGATGTGGAAGTCATCATTTAATAGCCTAGTAATGTCGTCATAAACAGAGTATCTACCACAAAGTTGGAAAATTTTGAAACTTGGCCCGAGTTTGCCGGTTTAAAGCTTGCACAGCCGCGACAAACCGATTTCCCAAGAAGCCCATAAAGTTCTTCCAGTCTTCAAGCGAAGACCAGCTAAAAAAGATCTGGAACACAACGTTGAGCATCTGCAGCATTCACCCACCCTATACTGTGCAACTGGAAACAGAAGGACAGTTGGTTGAAATTAGGTTCATATCGGTGCTTCGGTTACCATACTCATTGCTGCATCAGTCAAAAGTGTACCCAAGTTATACCCCTCGGAATCAAATTTGCGTACTTACACTGGGCAGCCGATACCAGTCCTGGGGAGAAGCGACTTGTACTAGCATTCGTTTTGGCGCATGATTATACGAACTTACTCGGGCGCGACTGGATTAAATATCTTCCGGTCACACTGGAGACAAAGAAGTTTCTACCCAGTAACCAGCCCTTGAAGGATGTGTTCAACAAGGATTACGACTTTTTTGCAGAGAAACTAGGAAACTTGCACGGAAATCAGGCTAGTATCAAATTACAGCCGGGCTCTTAGCCCCGCTTTTTCAGGGCCCGCAGCATAACTTATTCCTTGAGATCAAAAGTGGAAGACGAGATAAAAAATATTGCAATCAGCAGGAACAATCGAGTCAGTCCAAAACAGTGAGTTTGGAGCTCCAATTGTTCCAGTCCTGAAGCCGGATATTTATCTGTGCATTTGTGGCGACTTTAAACTAACTGCTAATAGTAGCATAATTCTCGATAAGTATTCCTTACCTCTGATAGAGGATCTGTATGCTACGCTGGTAGGCGGACATAAGTTTACACAAATCAACCTCCTTCACGCGTACTTACAAATTTAGTTAGATCAGGCCTTTTGTCCATGAACTGGGATAAGTACACACATGCATCTATTCCAGTACAAACGTCTGCCCTTCGGAATCAGTTCAGTCCCAGCGATTTTCCAGGGGATCACTGACAAACTGAACAAAGATATTCCTTCCACTTGTGCCCATTTGACACTCTAATTAGAGCACGTACAGATGCTGAACATTTACAGAAGCTATCCACTGTGCCCGAACGTCTAAAACAGAGTGGACTCAAACCGAAGTAGTCTAACCGTACGTTTTTCTCAGATCCTGATCTTTACCTTGGTACCGTCTCGATAAAAACGGATTACACGGGTTAGAAGACAAAGTAGAGCCTATCCATGTCGCATCTGAACCCAAGATGTTTTCTCAATATGCTTACTTCTTACCTAACCCCTCAACAATATCTACATCCTAGTACGAACTGTTTCACAAAGGGAAGTCCTGGACTTGTGGTCCTGATCAAAGAAAGAATTTCACTGATGAAAAAGGGTGCTCAGCGCCTCGTCCAATCTTAGGCATTTCGATCCGAGCAAGCTACTAGTGCTGTAGTGTGACGCTTCCCCATGCGGAGTAGATGCAGTGCTTTGCCACCGTACGAATGATGGTTCTCTTCGTCCAATCGCTTTTGCTTCTCGTACCCTGCCACCTGCTGAAATTAATTAATCCCAATTTGGCAAAGGGGACTTAGCGATTATGTTTGGAATCAAGCATTTCAACAGTACGTAAGGAGAAGACATTTTGATATCCACATCGACCCTAAACCACTTCTTTCGCTTCTGCTTGAGGAGAAAGTAATCCAACAGATGTCTTCGCCTCGAATGCGAAGCTGGGCACTAGTTTCCTGCGCCTATAACTACAAACTTCAGTATATAAACGGACCAAGTAATATCATTGCCGATGCACTTAGTGGCCACCCGCAGCAGCCTGGCACAAAAGCGAATAGTGTACCAATGGAGGTTATCTATTTGATGCAACACGCTAAAGACACCCATCCGGATTGACCTGGTGGGGCGCCTGACTGTGCGGACCATGTGTTTTCCATGGCGAAATGGTTCTTGATGACGGGATGGTCTACCTTTAGGTCAGACAAACTGGAACCATTCGCCTGTCTGAGTAATGAGTTGAGTCCAAATGACGGCTGTATATTTCTTGGCTCGCGCATAATTCCACCAGAAGAACTACCGCAACAGTTGTTGAGAAAGCTGCATGAGGCACACCCCGGCGTGAACAGTATGAAGGCGCTGGCACGTGGTTACTTTTAGTGGCCGTACAATGACCAGGATATAGAGTGGCTGATGAAATGCTGCGAACAATGTCAGAAATATCAAAGGCAAAGATCTCCCGGACCGGTACGTCTATGCCGTTAACCGGAGAGCCCCTGGCAGCAGGTACACGCGGACTACTTTGGCCCAATCAAGGGTTGATGTGTCTACTTTTGATTGTTGCCCATTTTAACTGGATAGAGGAAAATCCACTTTCACATGCGACGTCCGCAGCAACGGTTGCAAAAATGCGCTCCATTTATGCCATCCTTATATCCCAGAGACGGTATGCACCTGAAATGGAACCCCTTTTACTAGTGATGAGTTTCAACAGTTCCTGTATAACAACGGAATACAACACGTAAAGTCTGCGCCCAACTATCCCCCGTCGAATGAAATGACAGAACGTGTAGTCTATACTGTTAAGCAAGATCTCCTCAAATTGACCCAATGGAACTCTACAAACTAAGTTGGATATTCTCCTGTTCGCTTACCGCACGTCAACTACCGAGTCGACAGAGAAGTCACCCGCGGAATTAATATTTGGTCAGCCAATACGAACGAGACTGCACCTATATTTTCTGTATCTTCGGAGGAGAATGAAGGAAAAGCAAAAGAAAATGTGGTAGATGAACTGATGCCAAAAGAATATCTTAATAATTTTGCTCCGGTATACATAATACTGTCCCAAGTAACAAGCTTGCAACCTGCTACACTAATGTCCTCAGGGAGTAACCAAGCGAAACTAAAGCTGGAGGACGGTCGTGCGATGCGTAGCCATTTTGCTTATATCCTGCCACGCTTAAACAAACCAAAGGAGCGCGATCAAAAATCGGTCGCTAGTGAACCAATAACTGACGGAGAAGCTTCTGTACAACACCAGGCATCACAAAGGATGCGTTACAAGCAAAATTACAACGCTCAAAATGCACGCTAAGCCAATTGATTGGTATCAACCCGGAGTCTGTAGTCTTGACCAAGGAAGAGAGGGAAGTTTTGTAACACTTGAGTATCGATTCGTAAACGCAGGCTCTCCCATGATGTGTTAAGCTAGAATTAGCCTTTCCTTATTTCATTGGTTTTCCTTTCCGGCTTTGCTAAACACTGTAATGCAGGACGATTTTAGTAAATCGGTTCCATACTACTCATGCGCATTCTGTTCCGGTCATCGACTAAATGCCATATTTAACAGATTTCATTCACTAGCAAGAAGAAGAGTTTTTAGTTAGTAGCGGTAGAGATTTAACGAAAAATATAATTGAAGTAACATAGCCATACGTGGAACCGTTTTCTGCAGCCCAAGAAAGGCATTGTCCTTAATTCTGCTCTGTTGCTCTGGCTTAAAATCAACTAATCCAAAAATGGTAAACAGATTTTTAACAGCTGCCGCTATTTGCAAGTAGAATGGGCATTTCAACCACCTAGTTTATCGCTTAATGAATTGCCGGTCGGCGACCTGACTCAACGAAAGTAGAAACACTTGAATAACTTATGGAAACTCGAGTAACTGATACAACTTTACAATCCGTCCGTCCGGTTAGCAAGCGGCCATTATACTTCTCCTTGGAGACGATGAAATCACTCACAACACGTTCCAAATCCCATACTGTCTTGGACACCAGTAATACTGTATAACTCAAGTCACTATGAGCTTTTTGCACCCGAGAGAGCACATATTGTGTATTTTACTATATACACTGCGGATTTCTTAAGGCAGCATCATGAAAATAGCAAGCTTATATAAGATGGTAAATTGGCAAGTGTCACACAAATAAACGAACTTGAATCTGTACGCTGTTGATGGTATATTGTCGACGAGCAGTTTGCCGATGCCGACGAGGGTGTCATGTTAAAGTCGCCTTCTGATAATGCGCGATACGTGCAGTGTCTCAAGTCCATTGTCAAACAGCTGCGAAGAACAATAATACTAACCTTGTACCTGGCATAACCGAAACAAATATCGAAAAGTTAAGTGAATACTAAGAAATCCGCAGCAGACAAAGTAAGGGAAATGTCCCAGTGAAAAGGCAACGGTCGATAGAAAGGCCCCAAAGAGCTGGTAGAAATTAGAAGAAATGGAACAGGAAACCAAAGGGATGGTAGGTCAGATGAAATCTGTTAAACGATTTTTCTTTCTTTGGTAGCAAAACAGAATTTTACTTCAGGATTCTTTTGCCTGCTTTTGGCACGTGGATGTAATAATTGAAAATATCCTCAAATTGGGGCATTGATGTGAATGAGGCTTGTCCGCTGAGTTTACGATTAGTTTTTAAAGGCTAAGTTGTCAGTGTAGGCAACATCATCAGTGCGACTTCAGAGGACTTTTTTGCAGGACATCGTATGGGACTTCCAGCTTATTGATCGGCGTTGGGCGGCGTGGTTCACATCAGTAATAACAATCATAAGAATACCAAAAATTATATCCGTCTATTTTCTTGGATCTGACTAAGTGCATCGGTAGTGATGCATAACAATATGTACAAAAAATTACCAGAGTATTGCATGAGTGGTAGGCATATGTGCAATACCTGGGCCTGCAATTCCTCTTCGATCGATTTATTCGTTGGTTGAGGCGAGAGGCAAGGTTTGGAAAGTTCGGTGTTCAGAAGTTTATGGACGCTCTTGAAATAGTTCATCAGGGAAATTTCCATGTGAATACTGTCATTATTTTTCAGGTCAATGTAACATTTGAGCTTGTTACTACCTTTTGCCACGTTTTCACACCACGTCCCAGGTGTAAACGACAATTTGTTTCAAATATTGGTGCATCTGACCTGGATTAAATTGGAGCACATATATGCTGACTGATAAAGAAGTTTTGTTGCGATGTCCTTGAGTTGATTCATGTTGCAGTTCTACTGCATGCCTATCAGAATATGTGCTTTTTTATAGCAGATTGTATAGCAGTGACTAGGTATACAGCACTCGTCGAATTCAGATTGGTTCGAGTCACATTTTATTGGATAGCACTCATTAACTACTGATAGAACCTCCATCAAACAGAATTTTGTTAAACCACTTATCTAAGTGTTCCAGCGCAATTCCATCAACCTTTTTCATTTTGCCGTATATTATGCTAGAGTATTCGAGGATGGAGCAAATGAATAGCTTGAGAAGCTTAACTCTAACATGATTTGTGGGGATTTTGTTGGATATAACAACCACTGACTGTCTGGCACAAGGTATATAACATTCAACCTTTTCGGAGAAGTTACTGGTCGATGAATGCCCAGTTCTGAGATCGCGCGTGAACAGTTATATTGAGACGCGTTCATCGTTGAGCTCATTAGGTCTTTCAGGAGTGGAACCCTTGTTAGAAAGGATGCCTGCTTTTTGGCCAAGAGTTCCATTATCCATGAGTGTCACGATGGATCAAATGCATATAAATCATTTTGAAAGAGCAACAGTTTTTCATGAAGCTTGCCATATCGAAATTCTAGGCGATTTATATATCATCGGTGAGGAAAAATGGCCGACCACGTTTTACGGAATTGGTGATGTTAATTAATGTAGAGCGCCGACAAGGAAAGAGGAAACACGTTCTCTTAGATGGTATTACTACCCATACGGAGTAGCGAAAACGGATAAACAGCGAGTACTCAGGTATAAATATAGTCAACTTAGTAACGACTTCCTGATCCAAAACGCTTATAACATTTTTTAACCGCTTGTGAAGTATCAGGTGGAAGCTTGATGTATATTTAGAAACATAATTAGTACTGCATAGAAAATTATCTGGGTTTCATAATCTAGTTCAGACAATGCCACTGACAAAAGGTGCACGATCGACTGTCGACAGACCCACGCTCTGACTTAGATATCAAGACTAAAATGTATATGATTGAACTTAACTAGGCTTACGGAGAATGGGAACGTGAGTATCCTGTCGGACACACTCTAGAGATAGACATGAGTATTTGGGAAAGAGTACTCCATTGGATCATCGTAAGAGCATACAATCTCCGTCTTTGTTAATTCAGCGAGGGCTTGAATTGCTCACGAGATGGTTTCATTTCAAATAACTGGCACGAATCAAACCCAAGCAATCCCTAACTTAAACGAGCTTGTATCCTATAGAATAAAGTCTCGACTCGATGCGTTCATTTCAGGATAGTCTTTAGTTTAACCGGCGGATATTGAAAACTGTCAACTATCCGACAAAACAAGTTCTGATTGACTATCGAGGATAACGAATCCGGCAAGTACTTTCCGCGCATCCTTAGAACTAGCGGTTTGCAACCAAAATTCTAGTTTAATTAGTATGAACATTTCTGCAGACATTGATCAGTAGTAGACAGTAGCGAATATCCTGCGGGCGCCATGACAAAGAAGCAATACTTGGTTCAACTAGCAGAAAGCGAGTACTGCAAATCGGTGCCAAATGTTGAGCAGATAACACCAAATATGAACGCATGTTCTGTGCTGTATGTTTTAAGGTAAGTATACTAAACAGATTTTACTGAAGTAACCATGATTCTAAAGTAGATATTGGAAAGCAAGTGGAAAAGTGTACTTTACGCATAGGTTGTCATACTCGCAATTACATACAGAAATAATTCCGCCTATACAGGTTAAACTGGATACATTCTTTAATGACAATCCGTCCGGTCGACGTAGCCACACTTGCAAGTTGGATATAACAACGAACAATAGGTGGTAACAGGAATGTACGGCGTCAATTGTAAACAGATATGCTGGGAATTCAGAAACCGAAGGCTAGCAAATAAGCTTTATTTCAAATAAATGGAAGTGCTTCCTCAGCTTCCTAATACACCATAATAATAATAATAATAATAATAATAATGATAATGATAATAACACTGACCAAATTTTCTTGGAGATAACTTGACAATAACCAAACTTTGTCAAGATTGTTTCGTCAACCACTGTGCTCCTGGTTATTTCACCTAAAATTTTCGAGCGGTATGGCACGCCCAAACATCGTACCCACGTATAACTATAAAATGAAGGAAGTGAACCTGTCCGAGCGGAAATTGAAAGTGGTTGAAAAACATCAGATGAAAAACAGAAATTTGGATAGCTAGTCAATTTGTCATAATACTAGATACGTCAGGAATAAAGAAGAAAAACTACTGTTTACGTGAATCCACTACATAGTCGATCAATATTTTGTGCGGAGCACTACCTTCACCTGAACTTACTTAGATCAGCTCAATAATAGTTCTCGCAGAAGCTACCCTAATAACATATGATAATAACTTCGTCCTGGGTATCAATCATCGAAACGCCGATAGCTCACTGAGGTTGCATTATCACCTCAGTGAC